TTCCGCGCTCGAGAAATTATCGTAATAGCCCTTGAGCAGCAGGAATAACAGCAGCAGTTGGGGAACGCGCCGAAGCGTTCTGGTAGCAGTGGCAATAAAGCACTGACGAAGACAAAGAAGGAAACGGCAATATCGAGGCACATGGTGGGGAAAGGAGGAAGGAGAGAAGAATAACGATGCCGTGGCTGAAAAGAGGAGGCGGAACGGAATTTAAAGATAAGCGCAATTTAGACAGTGGGGTGTGGCTCGGCAGCGATGATTCTGTGGAGTCGGTATTGTCAAATAGGAGCGGATTGGAGGGGAATGATCACCATGAGCGTTTTGTTCTTGGCCCGTCTTATACTACGGATATTGGTGGTGTAGGTGCCGCTACTAAAGGCAGGAATGGAGATAGGGAAGCTGGGGAACAGCAAGCTGCGCTCTTATGCGGCCCTGCATTTGCACGGAGTCGTCAAGTTGCTAGAGAGAATTCTACCAAGCCGATGCGGGTGGACGAGCCATATCAACATCGCCACGCGCGGCAAATTGTCGCGGATTGTCTTGAGACGGGTCATGAGTTTATTGACATCTCGTATGCATATGCCTTAAGGCCTTCCTGTTTCTGCCTTGTTTCAATTCCCGACACTCTGAAGGAAATAAAACATCTTCTGCTGCTAACATAGATTTAGAAATCTTAACCTGCGCACTATTCCCCCCGGCCTCCTTCGACCAATCTCGCAATTTACAAAGTACCCCATCATTGAGGAGATGGATAAAATATCCTCTTTAGCCCGCGCCAACCACGAGCAATTTTTTAGCTCCTTCGAGCCATTCCTCTGTCTGTTCATGACAAACAATCAACTGAAGACCCTACCAGCCGAAGTCTTCGAGCTCTCCAATCTCAGAGTGCTAAGCGTACGCCACAACGAGCTCGAACAGATCCCGGCCGCTATCGGCAACCTGACAAAGCTGCGCGAACTGAATGTGGCAGGGAACCAGCTCTCGTATCTACCGATTGAGGTGTTCCACCTATTGCAGAAATGCGACACGCACATGAAACAGCTGACTGTACATCCGAACCCGTTTGTGATGCCTGATAGCTCAAATGTGGCAGAATGGCATTGTCATTTCGAGTCAGATGAAAACCAGCAAGAAAGCGTAGCTGAAGTCATGAGCCCGCCTTTATCCACAAAAATATGTCCAAGATCCGCAGGCTCAAAGCCCATACCCGTTCCTATTGCAAGAGGTAAGGTGCAATTTTTCGACGCAGAGGGACGTCCAATTGACACAACCGAGCCAACTACCAATTCTAACACCAGCATCCTACCCCCACTTCCTCCTTTTTCTTCTGCATCAGCATCGTCAATGCGCTCTCCCAGTCTCTGCGACCTCGCCCTCCGCGCCTACAACCGTGGACCCCAAATCTCGCATCTCATCGACCCGGTCACCTTCGCCGGACCTGCCATGATCCTTGACCTTCTAAAACACGCTGAAAAGGTCCGAGATGCAGGCGGCAAGAAGTGCCCGGTTTGTGCGCGGTCATTTGTGATTACACGCGCCCAGTGGATCGAGTGGTGGGATTGTGAGTCGTATAGTGTGAGTCGTTATGGTGGCGGCGGCTATGAGGATGATCATGATTTTTTACGTGCATCTAAGGTGGAGAGATTTCGGATCCCGGGGGTGGTGATGAAGCCCCTCCCGTTTATGAGTGAAGTTTGTTCTTGGGGGTGTGTGCCCACGTTTGAATCATGGCGAGGAGGGCTGGGAAAGCGGGATGAATAGGGGTGCGTCCTGTTACTGTACATGGCTCACCCTGTCTTCTGCATAGCGTTCGGCGCTAGTTACGGAACGAATACCCAGATATATTATGTGACTTAACAGCTGTGGATATATAAATATATATATGTAACTAATTTTTTTGTGCATCTTACATAAGTTCGGTGCGGAGTCGATGGGGACTTGCTTCTCGTTTCCATTACCCTTCTCTTTCCATCCAGTGGCATATCTAGCTGGAATTTGATTGAGTTGTCTACTGGGGTAAAATAGTGTTTAGAACATGGAGCTTCTATGGTTCAAATAATTTAATTGAATTTGTTATCCCTTTCATTGTGAGGTTTGCCCTAACTCCCGTCCCATCCATATGTATCAAGACGGCGCCCCCCCAAATCAACACGGAATAACGGCAATGGGGGTATTCAACGGTCAAAAAATAACTTCAAAAAAAAAAAAAAAAAAAAAAAAAAAAGGAAAGAAAGAAAGAAAGAAAGAAAAAGAAAAAGGTAAAAAGAAAATTCTGTTCTTTCCACAAGCCCAAACATACACCCTATCCACTCAGCCCACTACATCCACATCCACATCCACCCCGCCGTCCTCTCCCGCCTCATTCTCCCCAACGATAACCTCAACTTCCTCCAGACCGCTATCTTCAAACATAGCATCGAGCCACTTCAACATACCACCCCAAGCCCTAGGCATAATTGATTCGGAA